TATAGGCCTGTAAACAGCCTCAGTCTAATTCTGGAGTAGTTTTATAAAGTGGATTTAATTCGCTCTGCTCTGCCAAGTCCTCTGCCCAAAACACAATCAGGTTTAGTTTAAAAAAAATTCAATTTGCAATTATTTGGGAAAATACAGTCTGAATATTTAGAAAGAAACTGGGGAGAAGAAAATGAAAAATAAAAAACAGTTCTTAGTGGTGTCAAAAAGACTGAGGTTATTACTAAGACCTGTGGAACGAATTATTTCATTTTCTGTCTTTCTTTTTTATTGACAATGATCAGTCTGAGTGATGTTTACACTGTCAGACCTTTTAAATATTAGACTAAATGTGAATTCATTTCATTTTGCAATGCTTTTTTCTCTGGTTTTATCGCCATTTAATTATTTCTATCTTTATCTTATCGAGCCAAGGTGAGGCAATAACACTGCATGAACATTATTTGGTTACCTGGTTATTCACTCGGGCTGTTGTTGAGTTTTCAATGTGTTTTTTTTTTAATGTGTGAAGGTATTTAATCACAGATTCTGGAGCAGGAGTGACAGTAAGTTACTGTCCAAACGAGACAATTATAAGCAGGTGTTGCTCAAGCCGATCTGGGCTTGTAAATGCTGCTAAATGCACATCAAGTGTTGAAGTATGGAAATATGTTCCACTCACGGTCTTGTCGCTGTGCTGCTGCTGCTGGAGCTGCTTCATCAGGATGGACTTCTTCTTGTCTTTGCAGCGCTTGTTCTGAAACCAGACGCGGATCACCCTGGGGCTCAGGCCGGTCATCTCCACCAGCTGCTCCTTCATCAGAGCATCCGGTCTCGGGTTGGCGTTGTAGCAGGTCCGCAGGGTGTGGAGCTGCTTCTCGTTCAGCACCGTCCGGACCCGGGTGGTCTTCTCCGACTGCTTGTGGACGTGGTTCCTGTGATGTGGAGGATGCCGGACCGAAACCGGGTCTGAGGAGAAGGAAAAACTGATGAACTGAACTGAAATTCTTTGAAATTATTCGATCCTAGATAAATAAATAGGAATAGGCTACATGTTTGACGTCTTTAAGAAATTATTATAAACTTAAACCAAGACATTAAAGAAACAAATAGGACAGTCTATGAATTTACAATTATCTGCAATGTATGAAAATATTAGAAGATACAAAATATTATTAAGGAGGCCACTTCGCTCATGATATGCCAGAGACACTATAGACTTCATAGACATATTACAATATAAAACAGTGGAACTGACATAACTGACTCTATACTGGTCTCAAAATAATTTTCAGATGAGGCCTTAATTCACACAAAATATTATTATAATTATCAATGCAAGAAAAAGAAAAAATGCTACAGCCTATAATAATATATAATATATATTAATAATAATAATAATAATAATAATAATAATAATAGTCGTGTAGAAATGATAACCCAGCTCGTACCTGATATGTGCAGCGGTCTGGTGTGAAGGTTCCCCGGGCTCAGCGGGCTCCCTGCAGAGGCCCGCTCCACCAGCAAACCGTGATCCGCCAAGCACAGCAGCTCGTCGTCCCGCAGGGAGAACTCGTCTCCCGGCAGGAGATGTCGGCTGCACACCGAGCACCGAAAACACTCCATGTGATAGACGTTGTCCCGGGCTCTCATCACCAAGTCACTGCTGCAGAAGCCCATGCTACACTTTGCACATTTGATGCCAAATAACCTGAAAAGGAACGCAAAGATGCATTGGTCCCACGCATTATCCCTAAATCATCCCCCCTTTCTTCAATTAAATGGATATATGACGCTGAGCCCGGGTCAATGCTCCAATCAAAGGAAGCACAAAAAGCTGTGATGATATGATGATAAAAATAAAAAACAGAATACCTGCAACACAAATCTGATTCAGGTTCATGATGCACATTTATGCGCACTTTCATTTTCACACCCTGCACATTTGCCGCTGAAATGGACAGCATCATCATGGGATTATTATCTTATCTCATCTCGGTTGCTCCCTAAATCCACCACTGACTTTTCAACAGCCCGACACAAGGCCTCTAAAATATAGAAAAGTAAAAACAACAACAACAATTAAAAAAAAAAAAAAAAACCCTGAAAACTGTTGAACGCCTACCTTGCATAATCTCTTTTACAGTAAGTCTTTCCGTCTCGGACGAAGCAAGTGCAGGTCTCGTCCAGGTACTGGCTGCACTCTGCACATTTGAGGCAGGCTGCATGCCACTCCAGGTCCGGGGCGACTCTCAGGATGTACTGGTCGTGTATCTGACTTCCACAGCCCACACACATTGCGATTCCCGACTTCTCTGTGTGAGGAGGGAACGCGTTATAATGCAACACTGTGGTGCGCTCTTTTTAATCCCCATGACATCCCTGTTAAAGCCCTTCACCCCTTCACCTTAAGGAGAGAAACTGTTGTGCGCGTATCACAACAAACATGTAGCCCCCGTCCTTCTAAGAATATTACAGAATTATTATAATGAGGCCACAGGAGCTAAAAATATATCCAAGTCACCCACGGCATGAGTCACTTTAAATGCACGAGCGCTACAAATGCAATATAAGTTTATATAGCCCATAGCCTATCAGGACATTATATGAGTGTCATTACAGTGGTTTTTCTTTAGGAAGCGCCTGCTGATCACGTCCTGGTTGCAGTTTTCTGTAATATTCTGCAAACTTCGAAATGAATCCAGCGGTTTATTATCAAATTCAAGAGACTGCGCGCCGGTTAGGACATAGAAGGAAAAATTAAAAACTCACTTTTAAACTCCCAGAGTGGTAATAAATGAATAGAAAGAGCAGCATCTTACTTTTTGAATGATCCCCCATATCATCCAAGAAAGAAGTATTGAGCAGGATATCCACCATACAGGAGAAGTATAGCCCAGTGCAAGCCGACAGATGGAGGCGAGGAGCGGCAGAGGAGACCGTCCCGTCCCTGGCTGGATGATAAACTTGTATTCCTCCACCGAGAGGTGGAGAGAAAACAAAGATCCTCGACCAGTGACGTCTGTAAACCTGGACCTCTCTGAGTCCGGGGAGAGGGTGCAATGCAAATCTCCTCTTGGACCTTTGCTCTTTTTTTTTTTCTTTGGCTTCTTGGACTGGCTGTGAGAGAGGTTGTATGTGTGTGTGTTTTTTTTGATCTGTTTGTCCCACAGCGCTGCCTGCCCATCTCCGGTTCCCAAGTGAAAGCAGTTTTCTCTCTCGCTGTACAGTTATACTTACTTACTTATTGTGTGACATCAGGTGTGAGTGTGGATTCTATTGTTATTACTTCCTTTGGTATCACATTCCCGTAATGTTTATCTCCGGGCTCGTAATACAGATTTGTTGTGGTAAGTTTATCCTTGTCAATATTCTAGATTTTTTATGATATTGTTTTATAGTTTAGATTTTTTTTTAAATTATGTTACGCTTTCCTCCAAAATGCAGAAACAGAAACAAAATACAGAGCTGAAAATGTATAAAATAAAAATGTTAACATCAGGTCATCATTTCATTACTGCTATAAATGATGATATAGCCTAGATCATGTTTCGTATGATAATTATAATGATTATTATTATTATTATTATTATTATTGGTATCATTATTATTGGGTTAAAATCTTGTTGTTAATTGTAAAATTGATTAAAATGTGTTTTGTTGTTGTTTTCTTTAAGTGACTGGGCCAGTGTTCTCACACTACTGTAGAGAGCCCTCTACTGGATGAAACATAGAAATCTTGGCTCCACAGAGTGGCCGTTTAGAAATAGATCTTCTCTTGTGAATGGACTCACTGCGCTATATTTGGTGACTGACAGATGATGTTAAGCTTTGACAAAAATAAATGAATAAACCTTAAGGAGCCAACGTATGACTAATCATTAGTCCTTAACTGTCACATGCACACGAATCAAACGTATGGTAGAGAGAGAGAGGGAGAGAGAAAAAGGGAGAGAGGATTACACAAAGAAATCAAAGCAGATAAGTTAATTTTTGGGAGCTTTTTGTTTTGTTTTGTTTTGTTTAGATTTTGCTTTTGTGGAACAACAGGTCTCCAGTATCGAACATTAAATAACTCTGACTGAATTTTAATTTCAGGTCAGAGTTAACTTCAGAGAATGAATCTGTGACTCGGTTAATCAGGGAACATTCATTACTGGCCAGGTTGTTGTAGATTCTATTTACCAGTTTTCTCTTTTCTTCTTTATTTTGCTCCCCTTGCAGACAGAAACACATAACCCACAGAGATCCTTATACCTGCAGTTAAGGTAGTTGAATCAAAGGCTCTAACAGTCCAGAAATCATTCCATGCATATCTTTAGGTCCAAGTATTTGCTCAAATATACAGAAGATTATGGAGAATTAGATTTTAGCCAAAAATCATAGTTTTTTAAAAATAATAATTTTTATACTAAATTTTTGATTCAGTAAAAGACTCCTCATTATATGTTGAAGTAGCCCAATCATTTTAAATTAAACAAAAACAGTTCTCTTCTTTACGGACAAATTCTGAAGAGGGAAACTTTATTTTCACATATTGTATTGTTCACATATTTATAACTGAATGTGTACTGATATTCGTTTGCATTTCATTTAATCATTATTTCAATAATATTTTTCAGTCTGTACTCATAGCCGAGTTAATTAAACAGTTTGGGAAATCAACTGGAGACACTGGCTGTAACAGTAGCACTATAATTAAGAAAACAGGCTGAATAGCAGCGAGCCGTACATATTCTGGTGTTCTATTTTACTAAACTATTGTAATCAGTCTCTGAGGGAGAAACTGAACAAAACTTCATTAGTAGAAGAACTTGTAATAACTATCAGTCAATTGTGAATGTATGTGTTTAACCTATTATCATAAAGCATCAAGCTACTAATGTCGGAGGGAGAGAGAGCGAGAGAGCGAGAGAGCGAGAAAGAGGGCGAGAGAGGGCGAGAGAGGGCGAGAGAGATGGTCGGAAGTTACCGTTTTTGATCGGTCTATCTCGCGAGAAGTCGTAGTAAACGTCAGATGACCTTTGGCACAGTTTGGTCTCTGCAGCGCAGCAGGAGCAGCCAGAAGGGTCCAAGATGAACAGAGCCTTTAATAAAACAAGTCTGAAACATTTGGTAAGTGTGTGTCAGTTAGAGTTTAATATTATAACTCACACAGACATTGCATTGCCCTGTTATAGCAGACTAAAACCGTGAAACGTGAAATGCCTGCTTTGTTTTTCTGCTGCTGCTAGTTAGCTGGCTAGCTAATTTAGGTCGAGCTAATGCGGCACGTCGTGGTCGTATTTTGAATTAACGCAAGTGACAGGATTGTTTTCAACTTATTCTGACTTTAATTTCCCATATACATCGGGATATAACCAGGTGACCAGTGAACAGGTTTTGCTCTTGAGAGAATGCTAGTTGGTGTTAGCATAGCTAGCCGAGTGGTTATGAAACCTCTTGACGTTAAACAACAGTTACGAAACTGACGTGTTACCCAAGTGTTACCAAAATGTTCAATGTCAAAAGCATTGGTTGTCCTGCGAGACATCAGTATGTAATAGGTTTAAAAGTAGCACGTGGTATTTTATTTTTTCTCTGTTTGCTTGACTTCTTCTAAATGACCTTTCATCGCTGATATTGTTCAGTCATGTCCAGATGAGGCTGGTATTAACCTGCTTTACTCTGAGCCTGATGCAGCTGTTTCAGAGGTTGTTTGCCCACCAACCTGCCAAATTTTATATGTAGAATGCTTTTGAATCGGTGTGTATTAATAGTAGCCCCAAAATCTAGACAAATGCAGTTAAATCAAATAAATTCATCCTCAGAACTGAGGAATATGTATATTGTATGCATCCTTGATCACGTGAATTTTATCTGGGATGCCAGCTAAAATAACAGCACAGAAATCAAAATATCTCTTTGCAAATTTGCTATAGTAATTGATTTACATTGCATTATAGTAATAACACGAATTATCAAGATTAAGTGTAACATATTTTCACTGATAAATGCTGATATTGTAATAATTAATGTAATAAACAGCGTCTGTGAACTATCTCAAACATGACAGTCCATTTAAAAGATAGTGCCACAAGATCTTTGAGCATTGTATACTGAGATAGCAACATTTTCTCTCAACAGACTGGCCTCCTCCAAAGGTTTCAAAGCACCTTGGTGGTTGCAGAGCACAACAATGACAAGCTGACCCCTATTACGCTCAATGCTATCACTGCTGCAAGTAAACTGGGTGGAGAGGTGTCTTGTCTGGTTGCTGGAACAAACTGTGCAAAGGTTGGTAAAACTTTAGAGACAGACTTGCTCAAAGGATTACCAAACCTGTTGTATTTGTGATAGTATTAAAATGTTATTTTAGCTATATCATACTACCTTAGCATATGGATAAGTAACAATAGAGGAGAGCTAAGAATGTAGTAAAGTGTATTAATGTTTATTTTTTCTTTTCAGGTTGTGGAGGAAATCAGCAAAGTACAGGGTGTAAAGAAGGTTCTGGTGGCCCAACATGATTCTTACAAAGGTGCCATGCCAGGTATGTAACACCAAAGCTACTTCATGTGTGTTGTTTATTTAACATTCAGGCAGAGAGCTGCTCCTTTTTTAGCAATAACTTGCTTCATATTTGCACAGTACCACATATTTACAGCTGAATGATGTTCTGCTTGACTTGCTAGAGAGTATCTTGGCAGTAGTAACTGAAGCAGGGGAGACTTTTTCATTGGATCTCCCTGCTTATATGTTTATTTTGGCGAGAACTGGCACCTCTTACTGTCATTTTTGCTTTTGCTTTCTGAGTCAAAAACTAACTCTTTCCTTTTCCTCAGAGGAGTTGACTCCACTTATATTGGCAACGCAAAAGCAGTTCAGCTTCACCCACATCTGTGCTGGTGCATCTGCCTTCGGAAAGGTAAAACACAGGCAAGAGAAGTGCCTGTAAGATTTTCACTGAAATATTTTGAAATGCTTTTATTTTGTATTAGTTTAATGGATTTTCCTCACCCTACACCTGTTCTGAAGTCAAAGTATCTGATTTCAAAACTTGATATTGACTTAATTTTTTACAAATATCCAACAATTTACAAAATGTTTTGTACCCATCAGCTGTCATCTAAGGCTACAGTACTTTCTCCTCTTGATACTTTTAATGCACAAGTATGATCAGTGTATATTTCTCAGCTAATTCACCATCTTGTCTGCAGAACCTGCTTCCCAGAGTGGCTGCCAAGTTGGATGTGGCCCCAGTTTCAGATATTATTGAGATCAAGTCTCCAGACACTTTTGTCAGGACCATTTATGCAGGTAAGCCCATTATTATGATAAAGATGTAACAAATTATTTCTTTTATCTTCTCATAAATTCTTTGTTAGTTTTGACAAACCTCAGAAGAAATGTTCAATCATGTACCTGGCTTTGGTACAGCCTTGATATGACACAGATGTAACTTAAACACTGCTCAGTTTTTGCAACAGAATTTGGCAAGTTTGCATTGATGATTTTCTTAGTGCTTTTTAAATATCTCACTTTAATATTCTAATTTTACAGGAAATGCTCTCAGCACTGTGAAATGTAATGAGCCGATCAAGATCTTCACCGTCAGAGGGACGTCCTTTGAGGCAGCTTCAACAGAGGGAGGAAGTGCCTCATCAGAGGATGGTACAGTAGCTTACAATTCATTCAGAGAACTCTGCTGTACCAGATGCTTAGAAATTGTTTGAGATTCTGGATGTTGGTGTATAACATAAAAAGTAAAGCTATATTCAACCTCTTCAAACCTTATTTGTCATTGCAAGTTTTTATTCTTACTGGCCATTGATAATCCTTTGATCTGCAGTTGCTTCTTCTTCACCCACTGGAGTTTCTGAGTGGCTGGAGCAGAGTCTGACAAAGAGCGACCGTCCAGAACTGACAGGCGCTAAGGTCGTGGTGTCAGGAGGTATGAGTAACTGTCTATCTTCTTATATTATGTATTACAGTGTGCAGCCCAACAATGTGACCATACAAAATATTTGGAACCCACTTGTGTGGTGTCAGATTTATTCTTGAGAATGAATTCGTTAGCAAACTACTCCTGTCAAAAGCAAAGCAATCACATCATCATTTTAATATTTTTTTGGTGAAAATGAAATGCAAAAATAACCATCCCCACTAAAACCACGACTCATCGCAATATCTATATTAGGATGAACAAAATCTGCTTCATCATCCCATTTTATTGACCAGGGGTTGAGGTTTGAAGATAATTCAGCAGCACGTGGTCTTCTACAAAATTTAATTTGCATGGTGATATGTTTTTTTTTTCCACAGGAAGGGGCTTGAAGAGTGGGGACAACTTCAAGCTGCTTTATGACCTTGCTGACAAACTGAATGCTGCAGGTAGGGTGGGATTATCATTTTGTGTTTTAAATTACCTGGATTATTATTTTTTACTAAAGTAGATTTTAAATTGCATAATGTTCACTTTTCAGTTGGTGCATCCAGAGCCGCAGTGGATGCTGGGTATGTCCCGAACGATATGCAGGTTGGACAGACTGGCAAGATTGTAGCACCGGTAAGTTATTTCGTTGTTGAGGTGGTTGTTTGGATTTACTTCATTTTGTAAAACATAACAAGTAAAAAGAATGAGGAACATTATTATGTCAAAATGTGAATAGTTACATTAATCATGTTTAAAGGCAGGCAACTCTTGAACTCAGTTGCAGTATCCGATGCCTGTTAGGGTTTACATAGCGTGTTTGCAATCCAGTAGCATCAGGATGTCTGCTCTGCCCTTTTAAAAAGGTTAAGTTCCCATTATGTGATTCAGCCGGGTTACCACAGCTGTGATTATCCTCACATTAGGCCCTGCAAAATGTACTTGATGGCACATTTAGGGCCCTAAATGATTTAGCTGATCCATTAAAGCAGAGTGCAGTGGATATCTGGTCGGAGCCTCCGACCAGAGCAGACTGTCCAAATTGGATTTTCCAAATGTTATGACAAGCTTGTTGAATTTTGCTAAGTTAATTAAATATAATTTAAATCTGGTTTGCTTGTTTTATTCATCTTGCCAATCTAAAAATGTTTAGTGTATTCAGTGAAATGAAAGATTCACAATGTTTTCACTTGTATGCATGTTAGATATTATCTCCTCTATGCTGATTAAAGTACAACTTATTACCACTAGTGTAAACATCAGAGTCAAATGTCTGTGAACAGTGTCCATCTCTGAATTGTTCACTGTAATCAAAGCTGTTAGATGTTCCACCTGGACAGACTGGTTGTGTGTTAACAGCTTGTTTTTAGACATAATTGATCCAGAGATGCTGTTAAAAAGGGAGGCAAAGAAAACACTGAATGAACCACAACGAGACAAATTAAATTTTTGTCGGGGGTATTTTAGTTTTGAAAAATGAAACTAGTTGGAATAGCCAAAAGCACCTTACTTGGACCATCCCTTTTAAAATCTGATGGGAATATGTTTTGCTTTATAAATTGATAATGTCTGAATGGACACCTGCAGGTTCTGAGGTCAATGTCTGGTTTGTTGAAAATGTTGCTTTATGCATTTCCTGCAGTTATGAAACACTTTTGTGTTCACACATAGATGCTCGGCTCCATTGAGACACCATTAAATAATTCATGTGGTAGTGCATTAAACAGAGAAGCGCAGATGGTTTTCCCAGCAGGTTTAGGAGGATGCGAGCATGGCTGACCCTTTGCACACTCGCCCCGGCACCCTCTGATAGATTACACACCCGTGCTCATTATACCATCAATCGGCTCTGCCGTAACGTGGTTCTTAGGTGTACCTTTTCCAAAAGCCTGAGATTACACTTCATGTCAACAAGAAAGTGACACTTGTCTGGTTGTCTTCTCTTCATGTCTACAGGAGTTGTACATTGCTGTTGGTATCTCTGGAGCTATTCAACATCTGGCTGGAATGAAAGATAGCAAGGTAACTAAGGCCACTGGAGCCAAGGATTTCCCCATCCTCCCCTTTTCTATATATTTTATGTTTTTCAGCTGCATATGAAACAGAACACAATGTGTAGATTTTATGAAAACTAATGACATCAAGTAGCCTGAGCTCTGTTGAGTTGGGGCACAGACATTTGGTAAAATTTGTAAAAACATTTTTTGCCTTGCAGCAAAAGAGTAAAATAAAACGTTGCATGCCAGTGTCTGCACTCACCCATCTCACACATTGAGCATATAGCACCCATAACCATAACTGTGGTCACCCTTTGATATGATGTTTCCATTTTGTTTACAATTAAGAACCAAGGCTGTTGCCATAAAACATCACATTTCTGTGATTCAGCATTTAAGTCTAAAGTTTTATTAATTGAATAATCAGTGTTTCTGTGCTTTTGGCGTGTGTTTTGTTATGTACGAGTGCTTAATATGTTCTTTTTTTAATTTAGACTATTGTTGCCATCAACAAAGACCCAGAGGCTCCCATTTTCCAGGTGGCTGACTATGGCTTGGTAGCTGATCTTTTCAAGGTGAGCGTCTGGGACTGATATTGCTGCAGTAATGACACTGACTCTTGTATTAGGAAACAACCACGCAGCGAGGCCAAAACACCACTCATGTACCATCTATCTGGACTGTATGTTTTGACAGCTAAGAGTCCAGAGTAACAGTCAGAACATAACATTTGCTTTCTATCTGATAAATTTTGCACGATGCCTTATTCCACCTAATGGAAATGTGTATCTGTTGAATTATTAAGTTCTTGAATTAATCAGTGGAGTTGTGGCTGGAGCTTGATGCAGAGAGAAAAACACATTAGAATCTCAGAAGATATAAAAAGTGATCAATTGGTACTTTAAAGGTTCGGCTTTGTATTCAGCTTCTACTTGCCAGGCCTTTTACACACTCCGCTGCTTTCTTGTATCGGCCTGGTACTTGGGGTTAGTGAGCCAGGAGTGTTGGCACGACCAACACTGTCCAGTGCTGCTTGTGAAAGGCTAGTAGGTTATATTTTCATGTGTGTCCTGTTGGTCATGTTTTATTTAGCCCCTCAGCAGAGCACGAGCAGCCCAGGTGTCCTGACAAACTCTGTAGAAGTGATTAGTAATAATAGCTAGTGGCAGTAGAGTTGTGACCTACTGGGAGTGATCACCTTTCAAGTGATCACTCCTCAGATGGCTGATTAAAATGGATGGGCTTTCTACTTTTTCCCCAAATGGATAATTGATACCTCAGACCAACTCAGGCAGTGACTGATGACTCAGTTCTGAAGTTGCTCGACTCACAAGGAGAGCCATTTGAATAATTTTGTACTCATATCTACCACAAAAGGCTTTTGAATTTGTCTTCTTCAAATCTACATGGCTGGCAATATTAGTGTGTTTATTTATGGGCTAGATGCCTCCCTTGTAGAATGTCGCTCGGCATTTATCAACCTTGCAAACACTGATAAATGTTTGTTTGCTTCCAGCCTGCCACTGTCTTGATAAATCTCAGTGTACTCATTTATACTGTGAGCACCAGCATGCTTGATGGTTTATGTAATAAACTCATAAATCTTATTATATCGAATACACTGGGGATGAAAATGACAGGTGCTGGTGAACATTTATCCCCACACATAAAGCCTTGAAATATTTCAGATAGGTGCAGCACTTATTAATGCTGAGTAGAAATAACTTGAACTTCATTTTTATGCCTAAATTATTTCTACAGCGTATTTAAAAGTACAATGGAGTGAGATAGTTTTTAGGGCTGCAACGAACTCCTGCAGTAAATACACTTAACAGAAAATATTTGCTGTGTTTGGGTAAAATGTCGATCAAGTATTATATTAAAGTCTGCACTATTTTCTCTTCAGGCTGTTCCTGAGATGACTGACGCACTGGGAAAGTGAGGAGAAACTAAGTCCCACCAAACGTCCACTGCATAGCTACGAGAGTGTGCACAGGATCCCACAGCATCTGCCTTAACACATTTCTGTAGCTGTGAGTGTCTGTGTGCAGAAATAATCTCATCATCAACAGCTCTGTCTTGCATCAGAAGAACACTCTACTCTCAATCTGGAAATTAATGCCATTTGTTTTTATATATACACAGTACACGCATTAAATATCAGTGAATAAGCTTGTACCTACCTTTAGGCAAGAGGTTATTTCACAGCTCCAGTAGTATGTGTTGTAATTTGTATTTCATTTTGGGGTACGGTAAGGGACATCTTTGGGAATGCTTACCTTTGGACTTCCGACTTTTGTAGTTGGCTGTAAGATGCAGCTTTTCACGCCAACCCAGAGGATGTGTTATTAGTGAGATGCTCTTGGAAAATTATGTATTAAATTGACAACTAATGACTAACTTTGTTGTTTTGCCATGATTTCCCTTTATTGGGTTCATTTTGTAATGCCCTCTTTCCATGATCAAGATAGAAAATGTCTGTTGATAGTACAACAAACAGGGTTAGTTTGCAATATTGAAGTTTCAAATCTTGAAGGTTCATGCTATAATTTTCTTTCCAACATTTCATTGCAGTGCCAGTCCCTCATTTTATGCTGTGAAATGATGATCAAACCCATCCTGAAATATTTACACAGCTTCCACAACATTAAAATCATAAAAAGGTAATACTTTAGACCTGAATGACATTAAATCTATCATATGCAGGTTTTTTTTTTTTTTTTTTTTTTTTTTTTTAATCATTTTGGTGCATGAGGGACATGCTGTGGTTTTCAAAATCTCAGTAAACACTGACTCAGCTGGGTTTGGTCAGCTTCCAGTCATGGCACCTGGATAAAAACTCACTTGAATCATCCACCAGTCAAAAGATTTCCTCACGCTTTCCACTTATAGAATTTAGATAAAAATGTTAACATTGCTGATATAGAAAGACAAAGATTAGAAAGAAGTTGAGACTGATCCAATGTACCCTGCAGCAGTCCATCAAAGAGGACTGGTCTTGGTAAGTTTGGAGACACTAGACTGACTACCAAAACAGCTGACACACCTGCTCTTGTGATAAATCCATGCCTTGTAGCTCGGGGGAACTGATTCACGGTTTATAGCTCTCCAATAAATCATCAGTCCAGCATCTTCAATTCCTATAAAGTGTATCAGAGGAACTAAGCCCTCAGCACCATCCCCTCACTGGTTTCATTTCCAAGGAATCAAATCACAACTTTACATATCAAAAGCCAGATTTTCTGCACAGACCGGTTGTCTGAAAACTTTGGGCTTGAGCCCTGTTGCTGGTTTCTTTTGGTAAAATTTTTCATAAAACTCAGTGTTTTTGTGAGTGTCAATTCCTGATAAGTGGTGCCTGATAACAAGTCTGTCTCCTGTCCTCCGTGCTCTATTTGTGCTGCTCTGGCAAGTTCATCCTCTCAGCTACAACACTACAAAGAGGATGACAGACTTACAGTTTATGTGCCAGTGACTCCCGACAACATGGGAGTTGAGTAAAGCGTTAATTTTTGCGATTGATCTGAAGAGCGAGTCTTGTCAAGTTCCACATGTCAGACAGAGTCTTATGTCTCTGACAGACGGTTGACTGGAGCGTCTACTGGCTCCATCATCCTGTACTTCTCTTCCAGAAGAGGCTCATTACCCTGCAGATGGATGAGCGGCTTGGAGTGGAGCCCAACTCTGCTCTCCTGGTTCCTCTTGTTGTAGATGTTGAGCCTGTGCTCCAGCTCAGGACTGGTTTTGGTGGAGCCTGCCGGGCTGGGCGGTTTAAGGTTCACAGGGTCCAGGCCCTTCTGTGTGAGACAAGAGTCCTCGGACAGAGAGGAGAGCAGCTCCTGCACCACAGCGCTGGGACTCCCTCGCGGCTGAGTGCCCAGGGCCAGAGGGCTGCTGTAGGGTGGAGGGTAGCAACGCTGGTCGCTGTAGTCTGTGGAGGTGGAGGCCTCTCGCACCGTGGAGCTGCAGTCCGTGGTGGAGCCTAGCGTGTGGCTGCTGATGCTGTGCTGGCGAGCACTGAAGCTGGTGCGGGACACTGTGGTTGTGGACGCTTCGCTGACTGAGCTGCCGGTGCGCTGCAAACGGCTGGACGGCACTGCGTCTGCACTCACCAAAGAGGAGGGAAGCTGGCTGGGGTTGTTAGGCAGGTGCACGTCTATGGCTGCTGTGGTGATGACGCGTGCAGGGTCAGGGATCCCCATATCTACAGGAACAACACAATGCACAGCCCTTTGAAATAGCAATGTGCAACATGAGCTGTATAAAAGACTGAAGCAGGATCTTGTTGATGCTCACCACTGCTTGGCTCACTGTAGTACTGGCTGATGTAGTTGTTCATGTCATCTTGGCCATGGTGATCTGAAGAGGAAAAAAAAAAGAAAAAAAAGGCCACTTTATGAACTTCATCTGAGAAAAAATAAAAGTGAGTCCAGTGTGAATTTAAGAGACCAAATTAGTTTTACAGTCCAACGCGAGTACCTTTGAATTACTTATAATAGGGCAGTAGTTAGATAATAGAAAACACTTTAACACACTACTTTTATGAAATTTAATAAAACATAGTGACAAATGCCCATTACAAGTTTCTAGAGGCCAAGGTGATGACCTCAGGTTGCTCATTTTGTCCAACCAAGAGTCCAAAACCCAAAGGTATTATTATTTTAAAAACAACAAATCTTCATATGAGAGAAAGTGAAATTGGGAAATTACTCAAACAACTATTCTCTCATTAAAATTAGCTTTTTTTTGGTTGATCCTCTAATAGATAGATAATCAACAAATTGTTTTGGTATTACCTGAACAAGCAACGCTTGGTGTGGATGTGTTTCACAGATCCAAAATCAGTGTTTCTCATAAGTGCTACTCAGCGCCTCACAGAACTGTTAAATGGCCTATATTAATTTATGTTTGGGTGTCACATGTTTAATCTGTAAATGTCCAAGGAGGGGGCCACTCATGGTTTGGCCTAAAAAGTGACAGGGATCATCTCCAGATGATCAATACCACATGAGTATATGAGAAGCAGGCTCAGTTAAAAGGATGTCTGACTAGAAACACTGTTGCTTAGATGTATTGCAGGTCACACTATGATTTATAGCTTTGATAAAGGAAAAGCCTCACTGTTTTGAGCCCTGACAGCGCTTTGTTGCTTTAAGTCCTGTAAGTTATGACCTGTCACTGTGTGAGAGGTTTATAGTCCATCTAGATGTGGCACCAGAATTTTGATGTGGATTGTGAGATGAATGTTTTTGAGAAGAGGACACCAGAGCTGTGCTGGTGTGTAATATTAACACACAGTCCTACTCTCCAACAGAATGCAACAAGGTATTACTATATGCAGATGTGTTGTTTCGTGTCATATTTTCTACCAATTATAATTTTTTAGTTGCTTTCAGTAACCAGGAAACTCGTATCCTACATTTGTTATGTTCCTTTGTGTTATTTCTAACAGTTCAATGTTGCTGTACAGGATAAGGAGGGATTTCTCATTCAACCAGCCCAAAGAATTTAAACCTGCAACCCTCCAGTCATGAGCCAACTTCTTTTACATCTAGCCCATCACTTGCCCAGCACCGCACTGAACATCTCTACATTCAACCTTCCACTTGTGTGAACGTGGATATGGTTAAATGTCAGAAGCACAGTCTTGATTCCCCCTAGTGAACAGAGTTCTTTGATAGCCTGTAATACAGAGGAGTTGGGTGTTACAGATGGTTACCTGCAGGCCCCCCGGGCTCTCTAGCTTTAGCTGGACCGTGATGCTCGGAGGCACCGGGAGCCAGTCCATCCACCTCCTGGAAAGTGCTGCTTTGTTTACCCCACATATGGTGGATCTGCATGGCTGCTTCACGCTCTGCTACCAGATCCAAGTCCTGCTGGGCCAGGTGGGCCCTCAGCTGCCTGATTTCAAACTTGAAGGAGAGGGAAAGAATTAGTGCAGCAGATTTTTTCATACCTTACTATACTATGATTTTTTTTTAAAAATTGTTTTAATGCCTTACTACACAATTACATTTTTTTATGCCTGACTATATTATGACATTTTTTGATGTTTTTATACCTTACTATAGTATAACATTTTTTGCCTTACTATACTATGATGTTTTTATGCCTTAATATACTATATACTCCCTCAACACACCTGCAATGATGGCGGCACATACAGACACAGCATACAGGCTCTGCTCTTCCTGAAGTGGTTTCGTTTGTTTTTATTTATCTATACGATTGGAATGTGTCAACTGTAGTTTTGTCACTGTATGTAGTTATGTTTACTGTATTGGCTATATTACCTCATGTACCACTGGAGACAAGTAATTTCGTTGTACAATGTGAAATGACAATAAAGGTATTGAATTGAATCGAATTGAATAAAAGTTTTTATACCTTACTATACTATGACGTTTTTTATGCCTTACTGTACTATGACGTTTTTATGATTTACTATACGATAATGTTTTTATGCCTTACTGTACTATGACGTTTTTACTTACTATACTATGACCTTTTATGCCTTACTATACTATGAGTTTTTTTTGCCATTTTAATGCATTAATATACAATGATGTTTTTTGTCAATTTTATGCCTTACTATACTATGGCGTTTTTATGCCTTACTATACTATGAGGTTTTTTGCCATTTTAATGAATTAATATACAATGGCGTTTTTGGTCATTTTTATGCCTTACTATATTATGACCTTTTATGCCTTACTATACTATGACGTTTTATGCCTTATTATACTATGACGTTTTATGCCTTACTATACTATGACGTTTTTTGCCATTTTAATGCATTAATATACAATGATGTTTTTTGTCGTTTTTTTTGCCTTATAATACTATGGCGTTGTATATGCCTTACTATACTATGACGTTTTTTGCCACTTTAATGCATTAATATACAATGGCGTTTTTGGTCATTTTTATGCCTTACTATACTATGACGTTTTTTGCCATTTTAATGCATTAATATACAATTACGTTTTTTGACATTTTTATGCCTTATTACGCTATGACCTTTTATGCCTTACTATACTATGAGGTTTTTTGCCAATTTAATGCATTAATATACAATGACATTTTTTGTCATTTTTATGCCTTACTATACTATGACCTTTTATGCCTTACTATACTATGGCGTTTTTATGACTTACTATACTATGACTTTTTTTTAAGCCTTACTATACTATGACGTTTTTATGCCTTACTATACCATCATGTTTTTATGACTTACGATAATATGAAATTTTTTAAAGCCTTACTATACTATGACCTTTTATGCCTTACTATACTATGAGGTTTTTTGAATTTTAATGCATTAATATACAATGGCGTTTTTTGTCATTTTTATGCCTTACTATACTATGACCTTTTATGCCTTACTATACTATGAGTTTTTTTGCCATTTTAATGCATTAATATACAATGATGTTTTTTGTCGTTTTTTTGCCTTATTATACTATGACCTTTTATGCCTTACTATACTATGACGTTTTTTGAATTTTAATGCATTAATATACAATTACGTTTTTTGACATTTTTATGCCTTATTATACTATGACCTTTTATGCCTTACTATACTATGACGTTTTTTGCCATTTTAATGCATTAATATACAATGACGTTTTTTGTCATTTTATGCCTTACTATACTATGACGTTTTTTGAATTTTAATGCATTAATATACAATTACGTTTTTTGACATTTTTATGCCTTATTATACTATGACCTTTTATGCCTTACTATACTATGACGTTTTTTGCCATTTTAATGCATTAATATACAATGACGTTTTTTGTCATTTTATGCCTTACTATACTATGACGTTTTTTGAATTTTAATGCATTAATATACAATTACGTTTTTTGACATTTTTATGCCTTATTATACTATGACCTTTTATGCCTTACTATACTATGAGGTTTTTTGCCACTTTAATGCATTAATATACAATGACGTTTTTTGTCATTTTTATGCCTTACTATACTATGACGTTTTATGCCTTACTATACTATGGCGTTTTTGTGACTTACTATACTATGACATTTTTTTAAGCCTTACTATACTATGACGTTTTTATGCCTTACTATACCATCATGTTTTTATGACTTACTATAATATGAAATTTTTTAAAGCCTTACTATACTATGACCTTTTATGCCTTACTATACTATGAGGTTTTTTGAATTTTAATGCATTAATATACAATGGCGTTTTTTGTCATTTTTATGCCTTACTATACTATGACCTTTTATGCCTTACTATACTATGAGTTTTTTTGCCATTTTAATGCATTAATATACAATGATGTTTTTTGTCGTTTTTTTGCCTTATTATACTATGACCTTTTATGCCTTACTATACTATGACGTTTTTTGAATTTTAATGCATTAATATACAATTACGTTTTTTGACATTTTTATGCCTTATTATACTATGACCTTTTATGCCTTACTATACTATGACGTTTTTTGCCATTTTAATGCATTAATATACAATGACGTTTTTTGTCATTTTATGCCTTACTATACTATGACCTTTTATGCCTTACTATACTATGACGTTTTTTGCCATTTTAATGCATTAATATACAATGACGTTTTTTGTCATTTTATGCCTTACTATACTATGACCTTTTATGCCTTACTATACTATGACGTTTTTTTGACTTACTATACTATGACTTTTTTTTAAGCCTTACTATACTATGACGTTTTTATGCCTTACTATACCATCATGTTTTTATGACTTACTATAATATGAAATTTTTTAAAGCCTTACTATACTATGACCTTTTATGCCTTACTATACTATGAGGTTTTTTGAATTTTAATGCATTAATATACAATGGCGTTTTTTGTCATTTTTATGCCTTACTATACTATGACCTTTTATGCCTTACTATACTATGAGTTTTTTTGCCATTTTAATGCATTAATATACAATGATGTTTTTTGTCGTTTTTTTGCCTTATTATACTATGACCTTTTATGCCTTACTATACTATGACGTTTTTTGAATTTTAATGCATTAATATACAATTACGTTTTTTGACATTTTTATGCCTTATTATACTATGACCTTTTATGCCTTACTATACTATGAGGTTTTTTGCCACTTTAATGCATTAATATACAATGACGTTTTTTGTCATTTTTATGCCTTACTATACTATGACGTTTTTTTGACATTTTAATGCATTAATATACAATGACGTTTTTTGTCATTTTATGCCTTACTATACTATGACCTTTTATGCCTTACTATTCTATGAGGTTTTTTGACATTTTAATGCATTAATATACAATGACGTTTTTTGTCATTTTTATGCCTTACTATACTATGACCTTTTATGCCTTACTATACTATGGCGTTTTTATGACTTACTATACTATGACATTTTTTTAAGCCTTACTATACTATGATGTTTTATGCCTTACTATACTATGACGTTTTTATGCCTTACTATACCATCATGTTTTTATGATTTACTATAATATGAAATTTTTTAAGCCTTACTATACTATGACCTTTTATGCCTTACTATACTATATGAATTTTTTTTAAGCCTTACTATAGTGTGACCTTTTATGCCTTACTATACTATTACGTTTTTTGCCATTTTAATGCATTAATATACAATGACGTTTTTTGTCATTTTATGCCTTACTATATTATGACCTTTTATGCCTTACTATACTATGACTTTTTATGCCTTATGCCCATTTTAAATTGCATGTTAATATACTCAATGATGTTTTTTGTCGTTTTTTTTTGCCTATGTATAGCTATGACCTTTATGCCTTACGTAAATACGATATGACGTTTTCTTGAATTTTAAATGCATTAATCAACAATTTACGTTTTTTGACATTTTTTTGCCTTATTATCTACTATGACCTTTTATGCTTATCCTTACTATGACGTTTTTTGCCCATTTTAAATGCATTAATATACAATGCGCTTTTGTCATTTATGCCTTACTATATATTATGAACTTTATGCCTACTATAACTATGTCACGTTTTTATGACCTACTTATTACTATGACCTTTTATGCCTTACTATTAAAAACTATGAAGTTTTGCGCATTTTTAATGCATTAATATACATGATGTTTTTGTCATTCCTATATGCCCGTTACTATACTATGACGTTTTATGCCCTTATTATACTATACGTTTTATGCGCCTACTATACTATGACGTTTTTTTATATGCCTTACTATAGCCATCAATGGTTTTTATGACTTACTGATTAAATATGAAATTTTAAGCCTTACTGATACTATGAGGTGTTTTTTGCCATTTTATGCATTAATATACAAGATGTTTTTTACTTGGTCGTTTTTTTTTGCCTTATTATACTATGACCTCTTATGTCTTACTTATACATGAGGTTTTTTGCCCATTTAATCGCATTAATATACAATCCTGACGTTTTTTTGGTCATTTTTTAATGCCTACTATACATATGACGTTTTATGCCCTTACTATACCATCTCATGTTTTATTGGAACTTACATATAATATGAATTTTTTTTAAGCCCTTCTACCATTAGTGTGAGCCCTTTATGCCTACATACTATTACCGTTTTTTGCATTTTAATGCCATTAAATATACAATGAACTTTTTTTTGTCATTTAATCCTTACTATACTATTGGCGTTTTGTGACTTAACTATTACTATGACATTTTTTTCAAAGCCTTACTATACTCTATGATGTTTTTGCTTCACTATATCTATATACGTTTTATGCCTTTACTATACCATCATTTTTTATTGATTTACTTATATATGAAATTTTAAGCCTTAATCTAATGACCCTTTTAATGCCTTACTAGTACTAAAGGGCATAATGACAAAAAAGCGTCATTGTATATATGCATTAAAATTCAAAAATCCCTCACTAGTATAGTAAGGCATAAAAGGTCATAGTATAGTAAGGTAAAATGACAGAAAAACATCATTGTATATTAATGCATTAAAATTCAAAAAACTCATAGTATAGTAAGGCCATAAAAGGTCATAGTATAGTAGGCTAAAAACAATCATATTAATATTAAGATCAAAAAAATGATGTATAGTATCAAGGCATAAAACGTCAATAGTATAGTAAGGCATAAAAATCATAAGTATAGTAAAGCGCTTTTAAAAATCGTCATAGTATAGTAGAGCAAAAAACGCATAGTATAGTAAGGATAAATGGACAAAAAACGTCATTGTATATAATTAATGCATTAAAAATGAAAAAACTAATAGTATAGTAAGGCATAAAAGGTCAATATAGTAAGGCTTAAAAAAAATTGCATATATTAGTAAGTCATAAAAAACTGATGATAGTAAGCATTAATAAACTGTCATAGTATAGTAAGCATAAAAATGACAAAAACGTCATTAGTATATTAATGCATTAAAATGCTCAAAAACCTCATAGTAAGTAACATAAGGTCATGTATAATAGGCATAAAAACGACAAAAAACATCATTGTAATATTAATGCATTAAAATGGCAAAAAACCTCATTAGTACTCCTATAGGGCTTAAAAAAAGTTCAATTATAGTAGTCATAAAAACATATGTATAAGAACGTCATAGTAACTGTGAGGCCATAAAACGTCATAGTATAATAAGGCATAAACGCATAGTTAGTAAGGCATAAGAATGACAAAAACATTTGTATATTAATGCATTAATGGCAAAAACTTCATAGTAATATAGGCTAAAAGGTCAATAGTATAAAGTCATAAAAACGTCATATAAGTAAGGCATAAAAGGTTCATAATATAGTTAAGGCATAAAATTGACAAAAAACGTCATGTGATATTAATGCATTAAAATGGCAAAAAACGTCATAGTATAGTAAGGCAATAAAAGGTCAAAGTATAATAAGGCATAAAATGTCAAAAAACGTAATTGTATATTAATGCTTAAAATTCAAAAAACGTCATATATAGTAAGGCATAAAAGTCATAGTATAATAAGGCAAAAACGACAAAACACTCATTGTATATGTAATGCATTAAAATGGCAAAAAAACTCATAGTATAGTAAGGCATAAAAGGTCATAGTAGTAAAGGCATAAAAATGACAAAACCGCCATTGTATATTAATGCATTAAAATTCAAAAGGCCCTAGTATAGTAAAAGGTAAAAAATGTTCAAAACGTCATGTAATATTTAGTGCCATTAAAATGTCAAAAACGTAATAGTATAGTAAAGACATAAGGTCATAGTATAAGTAAGGCTTTAAAAAATTTCATATTTATAGTAAGTATAAAACATGATGTAA